TCCAAATAAGGATTACCGTCCGCCATCTCGTGACGTCAAAGCGCTCATGCTTTCTTTCCTACTTTGCGTGCTCGCCTCCGCGTGCTATGTTTTGGTGTTTTCGCCCTTCATTAGTCGTGATTAGTTGCGGAAATTTGCAGCTATATTGTGTATAGTTTGGGACAACAGAACGCTTGATAATACAGTTACAAAATATGGCTGAGTTTGAAGCCTATTCCTTCGAACCCATATGAAATTTCTCGGATTCTGATGGAGAAAATACAGCTGACGGCCAGAACGAGCTTGCAAGGAGGGGAAATACCTCTTGGTGTAATTGCGAGCATTGTGAAAACTGGGAAAATCAGTAGTGGGAAGGTAGGGTGGGCGGGGCCGGGGTCGGAGCGACCAATGGGAGAGAGAGACTGGAACCGAGAAGTGGGGAACCAATGGCCGCTCGCAAGCTTGTTTTTGTTGGCATGGGTGACACCAGAGATGTTTATTTTCAATCCCAAAAAACCTTCTACATTTCCTACTTTGGTTTTGAACTTCTGGTAAGGGAGTGGGATTGGTATTACCAGTGTCACTAGCGTCACTGGTCAGACAAGTTTCGTCACCCAAAGGTCGAGGTTGAGATTGGGGTTTAAGTTCAGGTTTGGGCGAAGGACTATCTACAGTGTCAAATTGTAATTGAATTGATTGATTTGATTGATTTGTTAGTATTGGAGGGAGGGAGATGAGACTGGGACTGAGTGGGTTATGAGGGTCGAACCCACGCCCCGTCTCCACGCCTAGGTCCAGACCTAGTTCGAGGTTGAGTTCTGTGAAGAGACTTGAGCAGAGGAGGGGAGATTGGTACGAGCATTGGATATCAAAGATGGTCATGTGATTGTTAGGATAGGAAGGGTTAAAATGTTACTCAAACTTGAAACCGGAATCAATGTTTAAGTAGGGGATAGTGTTGGTAAGGCATTCTATCTTTGAAAAGTTTAGTCAACCAGAATTTGATGTCTTTTATAGGGCTGGTTAGAGTTGGAGGTAAGCAGACTGTTGCAGTGATTGTCATGGATAGGACTTCTTGCGCTAAAGTATCAGCGTAAATTAGAGGTCCTAACATTTGGTGTAACTTATGTACAAAGTCGTACATGACCTGGTGAAATTCAAGCCACACGTTACTCGATATGGGTATGGGTAAAGTATTCCAAGAAGGAGTGTATTGGTTATCATCACGACGGGTAATTGGGCCATGAACACGTGAGGACCGATTACCCCCACCCGATCTCCCTTAGGACAGAAAATGGTATTCAAGAATTGAGGCCCTAGGAGTGAGAGGTTACCAGGTAACCCGAGAAGTCCCTTGAAAGAGATACAAATCTCTTTCAACCTGTTCCAGAAATAGGTAATCGCCCACAACAGTTCGTTCAAGTGATTTATCTCCCCCAAATTGTCGGAGGTGAGAGATGTAGAGGCTAAAAGGTCTGTGTACAAATTGGGTCCGAATATCCTACCCACGGATTGGGGGTTGACTTTATAACCCGTGACGTACTCCATCCCCTTGGCAAGGTCGTCGACACAGTTATTCTTTGACTGTTGTTGTTGACCTTTCGTAAATTTGTTTATGACGTAAGGTCTCAGGGCGTGAAAGACGCCCGAGGTAACCTGAGTCCCGTCTGACAATTGTCAGAAAAAGGGGGGGTGAGGGAATAACTATCTTTCCTACTGGCGATGGTTATATATTCCAAATACTTATCCTCCTCATCGGGTAGAAGAGGATTCATGTGAACACATCCCCCCTCGCTTCCCCTATTCTTCTTACTCCCCTCGGGATCGTTTTTCATCCTTTCCCAATCCCCGAGAGTTTGTTCAACGATAGCCTGGAAAGGTATTTGAGGAATGGTGGTACGGGGTTCGTAATGATAAATTCGTTGATTCCTGGAAATACTGAATTCGAAATCTGTAGCCCCTTCTAAAAACCTGAGTTTAGTTTCGGGTCTAAGCTGTCGGGGTCTCCCTTGGCGATCTAAAAGGCCCATAAAAGGAAATAAACGAAAAGTATTGAATCCAATTTTGGGATCGACCCATTCCCCCGAAGAGTCCATGACGAGTTTATCCTTATCTCCCCTTCCCACTGGTTTATTGTATGACATTTTCTGTGTTCTCCAGGGGTTACTATAGTATCTCGAATCGTCCCCGTGACGACGACTACTACTACTACTACTACTACCCTCCCTGTCGTAGTCCTCGATATCACCTCCCATGAGGATCATTTCTAGAATCGAAATCTTCCCACTATACACGTCAAGCTTATCGGCCTTTAATAAGGCTTCGAGTTTACTATCCTTAAATCTTTTGTCTAAGTCATTACGGTTCCAATCCATTCCCCCTTTCTCCTTAATGGACGACAAGAGGTGAGACAGGGGATTGACTGGTTCTTCCGAGACTAGACTACTAAATGTTATCAAGCCAAAACGTCCAATATTCCAGTCAAGGGTAGGGACATCTCCTTTGCCTCCTTGCAAGCAAAACACTCCAGGAACTATTCTCTTCTTCTGTATCCCCATGTTGTTATTACAAGTCGACACATTCATAATGTCACCTTTGTGAAATTCTTTCGTGACAGAATGTACGACAAATACCGGCCTGTTGGGGTACTGGCAGTAAACCTCCCACATTTTGGAAGCGATAATTTTACCCCTGTCGGTTACCTCGTCGGGATGAACTATAAATTTAACTCCGTCATTAGATTCGTAACTACAATTGCCTATTGCCTTGACACATAACCTTGGGCAACCGGTTCTTCCTTGAGGGTGGTGGTAGATTGACGATGAGAAAAGTCTTGTTTATTCATGGCATAGTGATGGTCATGACTACCACCAGTACCATCATCACCGTTATCACCACTACCGCTGTCCTTGTCTTGATATTTTACGAGGGGTAACCCTTCAATGTCTGAAACGAGATATATTAAAAAAAAATCAATATAAATATAAATATAAACATAAATATAAATGAAACGAAATAATAAAATCGAATAAAATGAGATGAAAAATTAATAATTAAACTGAATAAAGTTAATAACTTACCACATAGAGTGTAGAACTTGTTTTCACCCCCCTCGAACCACGATAGGACACACTCCCCGTTTATCTGAACAGGCGTAACTTCTACACTCTCCCCACTACCCACAACCTCGAAGTCTTTCTTCCAACTCATATCAGAACTGTTGAGGTTGTTGACAGGTACAAACACTCCCAAGGTATCTCCGTGGTACATGTATTGAAACTGGTTATTTTTCCAGGCACTAATCGAAAAATAGATAAATAGACGATGATGATTATTATTATTATTAATCATAAACCAAACTAAATCAAATAACTAAATAATTAACTAATCAAACGAATCAATCAATCAATCTACTAATCGACTTACTCTTTCAATCTTCTATTCAAGTGGACCTGGATGAGTACTTTTCTCATTCTCTTTTTGGGTTCAGCTTTGGATTTTGTAACTCTACCACCACTCGCGCTGCCATTACCGCCATTACTACGAGGTACTTGGGCCAAGGACTGTTTCCCTTTCTTAATAACTTCTTGTCCCTTTCTGCTCACTAAGTTCAGTGTAAATTTCCTGACCATGATTACGATGTTAAGATTATTTTAACTTCTTGTAGTCTTCTCTTAAAGTCTTGTCTTCTAGATGTACACGGTACAAACTCCCATTCGATTTGAGACCAAACTCGAAACACGTACCCTCTATATAATCGTGAGAGACCTGTGCGCGCGGGTTAAGCTACTTTAAAAATGACATCATTAAAACCCCTAATTTTAGAAAACCCGTCATCGGACTATTTTAAACGACCAATCACTGTCGAGACCCCTCGTCATGTGACCATCGATGAACCAATCACCGACCTTAACGTCATATCGAGACAGAACTAAATATAACCGACCAATCATCGTCGAGATCATCATCGTGTTAATTTAAACCAACCAATCATCATAAAACTCGTCATCGGACTATTTCAAACCACCAATCACTGTCGACATCCTCCCCACGTGATCACCTAACTGACTTTGACCCACCTTGATCGACCTTGACGTCATATTGGACCATCGAGGTAAATATAACCAACCAATCACCGACCTTGACGTCATATCGGACCATCACACCATCACACCATCCCGCTAAATATAACCAACCAATCAAATCCACGAACCATTATGTCACTTTCACTTTCACGTGAACTTTTCCCCTGGGCCAATCACCTTTCGCTTTCACTTCCAACTTCCTCTTCCCTTTCCCCTTATAAGGACATCGACATGACGTATCGTGATGTTTATAGCTACTCACGGGGTCGGTGACATCAAGACCGTGAGGGGACTGGGACCTAGTTTGGAGTGTATAAGAGCAGCAACCACAACCTCAATCAACCATTCCATCAATCGACGAGACCGATCGAAGACAGCCGAGAAGGACAAGAGCCAGAGCCAAGAGCCAGAGCCAGAACTCTGAACAGAAACCAGAAGCCAGAACTCTGAACAGAAACTCAACTTCCTAGACTTGATCAAAAGGGGAAACATGGCCGCGCCGAGTGAGTGAACCTTAACTAAATTTATACTTGTGTGCTTTTGTACTTGTGTACTTTTATAATTTTGTACTTATACTTTTCTACTTTTACTTTTGTTATAGGAAAAATCGAGACTACTGAGGTGTTTGAAGAATTGGTGAAAAAACAAAGAGAAGACTTGTTAAAGATGATTGAAATAGAATCATCCCTATTGGAATACGAAGAACTTAAAGACTTTTTTACAATAGAAACAATTAACAGATGGTTAAGAAGAGAAGAAAAATTGAAGAAATTCAAAATTATGTTAAACGAATACGAGTAGTACCCCCATACCGACTATCCGATTTCGATAAGAAAACGGTTATTAGGATATTATCGAGGGGGACAGAGAACTATAGAAATTTTAAGAATAATATATTACGAACAGAATATTGCACATCTGAACAGGCTTTCAAATACTTATGTTATAGTATTAGTGACATGTGGAGAAATGAATCTATACATAGGGTTTTTGGAAACCACACTATTAATTTAATGGTAATGTCTATAGCTATACTCTTTTTGGAGAATTACAAACTCATTCCCGACGTTTCGGAAATATCACAATGTAGAAATGAAATACTAAACTGGTTACAAGAAGATATACACAAATCTCTCCTTCGAGGTTATAATAAAACCGTAGAGAACGTATGTACACCGATGTCAGATTAGTTTAAAAACATGTAAATAGTCTAATAGAGAATTGATAAATAAAGAAAGAAATAAATGAATATATGAATGAATGAATTTTTATTTTTAGAAATGATTTGCGTGTATTTTTAAAGATTACACCCATTATCATACAAGTAAAAACACTTCAATTATTACCCCACAAGCTATTATACTTATTTTTCCAAAGTATAAACGTAATTAAAAGTCTCCAAAGTAGTATAACCCCTTTAGTCGTAGTACTCGTGACTCGAATGGGCCGAAAGTTAGGCTCGAATGAAATTGATGGGAAAAAATAGACTTTATATCATCAAGATGCGCACGCATACGAATTGTTAAAGAACATTACATCATTACATCATCTAAATCTAAATTTAGAAACATATTTCATTTTTACACCATAAAAAGAATTAGGTGTAACTGTATCTTAGCAACGATCATAATATTTTGATTCGTGCGTCATTCTTACATCATTTTTCTATTTTAAAGTCACCTTGAACAAACTTCGAAAGACTTCCTATGGTCAAGGTACAAATTCCTGTGACCGTATAAGGAGGTAAACATTACGTGTAATTACAAAAATAGCTACTCACGTGGTCATTGACATCATAACCGCGAGAGACTAGGATCTAGTTTATAATGTATAAAGGAGTAGCGAAGTTCTAGCTAATAACCATTTACTCTCGAGCGAGCTACTGTATACATCTCTAAAAAAGAAGAGAAGAGAACAGAGAATAGAGAACAGAAAACATGTCTAGAACCGCCGAGACCATTGAGACCATTAAGACTACTGAAACCAGAGACAACAACTACAACCGAGACTACTTCTGGTAAGAATAAGTAAATTAGAGTCGATAAATTTTATAATAATAATAATAATAATAATAATAATAATAATATTATTAGTAATATGAGAATTGAGATTTGATTTAATTTTTTTTTTTTAAATTCCAGAAACGCTTAAAAAGAGAAAGAATTCTCATCTGGGGCAGGAAAAAGAAGAAAAAGAGAAGAATGAAAACAAAAGAAGGAAATTAGATCCCTCTGAGAATGACAAGGACAAGAAAGAAGAGGGAGAACTGGATGACGATGACGACGGTGATGACGAAATCATTGATCCACCAACGGCATGGGTAGAGGAGTTATGGGATAGACCCGATATCCTCAAAAAATTCCATGATGGAAGGAAAAATATCGAAGATCATATAAATCATATGATAAACCAAGTAGTCCTTGACTTCGACTTTGTTGTCATTCACACTACATTTCTTTTCTATTCCATGCAGTTCGACCAGAGTGAAAATTTCTTCACGGATGATATGCAAGGCAACCTATATGTACGATTGAGTCAATATAGACTGCAATATTTTGGAGATGGATGAACAATTTGAGTCCAAGAGATTGTGTAGATCTATTTTTTTTGCGAGAAAGATATGCTGTCCAATTTTGTCAAAAAGCTGGATGCATGGTGGCTGGTGATATAGATTTTTTTTGCTCCTAGAAATGAGAGATTTAAACAAAGTGACATCAAAACTTGAATTATGGAGAAGAGAATGCTTGATACTTGTCAACATAAGTATGTTCTGTAATAATTGCAAAAATCTATTAGCCAAGACATGTCTGCAATCCTTTTGAATATCACTGCATTGCTAGTGAGACTAGCACAAACGATTACCAAGATATATAGGAATAAAATACCGTGATTTTTGTTTCCAAGAAAGAAAATTATTGTTATTTTACTTGCATGCACTACAATATGTACTATCCTTGTATTGCACCAAGTTGGGGACTTTTTTCTACAGTTGACTAAAGGTCCACTTTTTTCAGGCTGGAGGTATCATAAGACTTAAAAGGACAGGCATTTCAAACATTAAGTGATCATTTATCCCAGAAATAAGATCTAGCAGGCCACATTAGGTTTGTGAAAGGGGTTTCAGGTTAGAAGCTACATGTATATGAAAGGAAAGCCTTTCCTGTCAAGAACACTGTTAAATAGATAGGTCTTTGACATTGGGCCAGAGCCTCCTTGTATAAAACTTTGTGACTCCCTTCCTCCTTCCCATAGACGTAGTTCTATAGAAAAAAAAAGCCTTATAAATTGTAAATAAAAACATTCCCTTCACTTCAGGTTCATGATTGAAACAAAACTGTCTGAAATCATTCTTATAATATTGAAGGAAATACTTTTTTTCTATAGATTTCCTGTTTACCTGCAAGCTACAATCAAGCTGTTTATGTTTGACTTAGCTTAAAGTAAACAAGATTTTGCCAATATCCATGTCTCACTTAAACTGTCTATCACCCTTGCCTAATATCTTTCTTTTTCAAAAGTAGATATACAAAATAAACAAAAAAAGCAGCACAATAAGATTTGGAGTTAATCCTGATTTTTAAAAGACGATCGAAATCATGGTTCTCGGAGTAAAAAACACGCCATACAGGGGACTGGCACTAGTAAGTTGTGACGTCAACCCGCTATCTTGGCAATAACATGCAACAAAACACAACAAAGAAATATAGCGAGTTACGCGTGTTCTCCAGTTTTTTGGTCTTCTTCTTCTTCCAAAATGTCAGACGGCAACTCTAATTCCGAAAGGAGCTACAATTCTGATGATTCAGAGTACAATTTTATCCCTGGCCACGTCAACATTGGCGATATTGAAGTCCAAGACGATGAAAATTTAGGCGAAGAGCACGTTTCCCAGCCAGACCCAGACAACTACAAACCCTATGAGGACGAGCCGATAGCAACTGAAGGGTTGCTTTCAGAATACAAAAAAAGACAAAAAACGCAAGTTGAGTTCAAGCGAAAGCTCCAGGATTGTTACGATGGGAAACAACTCCTAAATTTCTGGTGAGTCAGACCTAGGGTGTAGTGTTTCCTGTACTGTTTGTTGTTTTTTACATTGATTAGTCAAGGCCTACTAACCACTGGTTCCTCTACAGGTGCAAATGTGGTGCATGTAGTGCGGAGAATCTGCAGAACCTGAATGAATTCCAGTGCTGCATGGCAATAGAAGAGTGCGTGGAGTGTCTATCTAGTGAAATGGTAATCGACGAAGTGGGCACAAAGCTGAACTGTGTTACGCAGCATCCCAGATTCAGCCAAGTTTGCCTGCAAAAGTGGAGTTTGTGGTTGGCTGCTGATAAATACAAGACAAGAAATAAGACGAAGTATCATCAGACTGGAACGGAAAACAGGTAAATAGAAACTGTTTTATTAATTTGCCTGTTTGTACTCACTGAGACTAACACACTATTCTGATTGTGAAAATATTGAACTTTGTATGCTGTCCAAATTCTTGCACACTGCACTTTTGCATGTTTGTTGGCTTGTGTTCCTTTAAAACCTTTTTAGTCCACTTCTAGTTGTTACAAATTCTCCACTAAGATATACCTCATTATAATTATGTTGATCTCATCAATTTTACTTCCAGATTGAGTACATTTTCCCACAAAAATATTTGGAAAACTTTAATTAGGATTTGTCTCAGAAATTTTATTGCATTAAATTTATGGACAGATATTGGACAGAGTTGTCAGAAAATTTTCCATGCATGTCCATGCATGCATGCACTCTATCCAGAAAAATATCTCTTTCTACTGTACATACATATTTATATCCAAGAAACAAAACTGAGCTGGATACAAGTATTTTTTAATATAAATCATACAAAATACAAAATGAGCTAGAATGTAGAATTCTCTGTTGTGACACTACCCTTTCATCTAAATATTTTTTTTCATAATAGGTTTCTGCGTGGTATTTCCTATCGAGAATTTACTCGCCTTGTCCACGGATACTTAGGTGGGAGGAGGATACCTTTGCCTGCATGCACATACCATGCAATAAGAACAACATTTCCAGAGGAGAAATCTTCATATGCTGGATTTGAAACTGAAGATTTTGAATGATGGACAGCTCATAGACATTAATTGAACATTGTTTCATAGTTAAATAAATTGGAATATTTATATCTCGGAAGTTCTCATTTTGCTTCATCTAGATTCCCTTCTGATTTTTTGCACATGTGGTCACATTTTTGTGTCCTTTTATAGGCTGCTGGCGTGTGGAACAGTAGCGGGGCTTTCCTTTAGTGGCCTGTGGTGGCTGCTGGATTCCATGAGTCTCTACAACTTAAAACAAATGATGTTTGTGTGATAAGCCATGCATTTAACTGGGATTCAGGGGATAATAAAGTGAGCCATTGAAGTCTTAAACGTTTGATTTCTTATTGGCCAATAGGAAAACCAAAATTTTGGAATTATATTCTTAAGGTATTTCATTATAGCATCTTTGTCACTGGCAGACAAGGCATTTAAAATTCAACCCATTTTCCATGGTATTCAGTATAAAGCATTTCTTCATCAGACTAGAAAAGAACAGTGAGAGTGATATGTCAAAGAACATAACACACCGACCCTGACTAGGATTGAATGGTACTTTTTGTACTTTATTGAAATTACCAGGTGTTATTGGGGGCACATCTTTGACTGTCTTTCCTTTCCTTTCTGCCCTCTTAACAATAGCCTCCTCCCATGATTGCCTTTCCAACATTGTATTCATAGGTGGGGGATTCATGTCACTCAATTCCCGCATGGCAACCCCAAGCTGGCCTTTTTCCTGAGATTCAATATATGTTTGGTAGATATCCTCCACATAATCTGCAATAATAATAGGACACACCTCTTATTTAGTGGTCAAGGAAAAAAAAATTCAGAAAATAATTCATACTTTTAGCAGAATTCTGGTGGTTCAGGTCATGTACAACACCTTTATTTTAATCTACATGTAGATATATATTTTACCATAGGTGGGCTCCACTTTCACATCACGCGCAGTGGCCTTGCCATTTTTTAATTTTGGCTACACCACTTTCACTTGCTCTGTGCCATCTCCATTCTTTTTCACTTCTCTCAACAGGTTGAGATTGAAATATAAAGCAGCAATGATGTGCCTTTCAAAAAAGAGCAAACAAAAATGAGAATGTGCTGAGATTTCAGATAAAATGAATGCATTTAAAGCCTGGCATTTCACTATAGAAGAGAGTCAATTTCCTTCATCACTGGCCAATCCTTGTAAGAAGGTGAGCATGCAATGTCTATAATTCTGGTTTTGGTACATAAGTAATCCGTTGCTATTAATCCAGACAATTTATTTGTCACTCCCATTACTCTAATTCAGTTTATTGTCTATTTATGAAAAGGATTGATTGGACAACCAACCTGCAATACATTCCTATAAATGAGAAGGCTATCATTTTTGGTGCAAACTGGTTAAGTGTAGAGTGAAAGCCCTCCAAGCAGCTGGTTTGTGCCTTAGGCGAGGCCTGTTTTGTCCCACTGACCAGGGCAGCATTGTTCAGGGTAGAGTACATTTTCTCATATACTGGGAAATCTATGACAATAAATAAGCAACTCTGTTAATATTTTGCATACACACTTAATCAGTGGAGCCCTCTATCACTTGCTTTGTTATCTCAAAGTGCACTTTCTTATCACTTCCATGGAGAGGGGTGGGGGTGTTTGTGTAAGGGGAGGGTGGGGGGTAAGTGGATATTTCCAGGAACTACATCATGTACATGATCACAATTTATTGAACATATGAAATAAATTTCAGTTAATCAACAACTCTTGTTTCTAGTTTGAGCTATGTGCTTTGCTAATCATCCGTTCATCGACCTTGGATGGCCTCACATGAGAATCCTGAAAACCAGCCAATCAGAGTGAACTTTAGCATCTTGATACGTGCTTGCTAAATTTGGCCAGTGTCTTTTGCTCTCACACGAGATAAACTACAGTGCGACATTTTGTCCAGAATATTTTCTATTCACATATTCCCTCTTCTACTTCGCCCATCATCTGGAAAGTGGTAAACCCAGCCAGAATCTAGCCGGCATAATTGCGGGGCTCATTGATCTTGCATTCTGCACGGTGTTTTGAACGCATTATAAACCAAACAGGTCTTGACAACATGCCACCGACTTGCCGAGCAAGGAACACTTCCACGTTGGCCGACCCCGGTCATTTACCTGCAGACCTCGAACTTGGGAGACAAAATGTTAAAGATTTGCGATCTTTGTGCAGCCGGCTCAACCTTGCAATGACCGGCAGACGTGCTGCCCTGATTAATCGTATCGACGAGGCACGGCAAAACACAGGAAACCTTTCTGGCACTCCGCCCCCTATTCAAGATGGCGGCGAGCACATGGCGAACCAAAATGCTCTTGAACTGCAGTTCCAACAACTCCAGCGTCAAGTCCAAGAGCTACTAGATCGGGAATCGCCACGAGATGGGCTTTTGTCAGCCACACAACTGACCCAAGTACAATCCATCGTACAAGGGTCATTAAACGAGGCGATAGAAAAAGCCACATCAGCCGCAGCACAAGCCACAGTTTGTGCTTTCGGTAGCTTGCCTCCACTAGCTCCCAATCCAGCCACCCCTGCAGGAGAATCCTCTGTGGATGTTACACCAACTTCTTCAGCAGCATCCACAAGCAATAGCCTACCCGAATCACAAGACCTGGAAATTGCTCTAGATCTGCAATAGACACAGCAATGGATTCCGCCCACGAGCTGCCGGCCAAACTGGTCAAGGAGATCCCCACTGATGAGTTCATGGAACTATCTAAATTGCTTCCCAAGAACTTTAACCTTTTAAATCCGTCCCAGAATGAGCCGCTTACCTTAACTGTGGAAAATTCAGTCATTAAAGTAAATAAGGCCAAAACTACAATAATAAGTGACATCCCGGAGTGGACGATGGCATTTAGTGCCTACATGGGTGTTCTAATGAGCAAGTTCCCACACCGTGCCTCTGAGTTACTAGAATATATGTCTCTCATTCGCTATTCTGCTAGATACCATAAGGGGTTAGGCTAGTGTGTGTATGACATAAAGTTCCGGCAGAAGGCTGCCACTAACAAGTCATTGAAAAGGTCAACCATTGATAGTCAATTATGGCTCAAAACCTTCACGGTTGCACCTTCACTTCTAAAGGAAGACGTTGGGGTTTTCCAGTCAGGACCCTCATCGTCAAGTACCTCTAGGGGGACTGAAAAACATACTTGTCACCACTTCAACAGGGGGGATCCCTGTGCCAGAACCGCTTGCATCTATGCCCACAAATGTAACAGGTCTGGGTGTGAGAAAGATCATCCCAGGATCAAGTGCCCAAACATGACCCGCCTAGATTAGCTCAGCTATCCGCGGGCATGTTACAATTGTAATTTTAATTTCATAACAAATAAAATGTATGTATGTATGTATGTATGTAACTATGGTACAGAAAAACAATCTTCCCCAAGGGTGGGAAAGTCACCTCCTGAGCACCAAAGCACCTGCCACCGAGAAAACCAAAACCAAAACCAAAACCAATTCATAAAACATGTAAATGACAATTTTATAATTAGTTAACATAAGTCAATTGTAAATATGTAAATAGCAATTTCTATTTTAATTTTTCGTTGTCAAATATTTTGTTGCTCGGAAATATTAGCTGGTCAAGCTACTCTGAAATTCGAGCTTAAATAAAGTTTATGTATGTATGTATGGTGTAGTTACTCCTGTCAATGTAGAAAGGTTACATCAGGCCTTATCCAATCATCCTGAAAGGGAATTTGTCAACAAACTGTGTTCAGACGTGAGGGAGGGGGTTAGGATAGGTTATTCTGGTCATAGATCCCCACGCTTTTCAAATAACTTACCTACTGCTTATTTAAATCCTGAGGTGGTTACAGCAAAATTAAATGATGAGGTTTTAAAAGGGTGTACCATGGGCCCTTTTTCCACACCCTTTTTTAAAAATTTTCAAGTTTCGCCTATTGGTCTTGTTCCCAAAAAACATTCCGACAAATTCCAAACCATATTTCATTTATCCTACCCTAAGTCTGAGACCTCTAGCATCAATTATTTTATTGAAAAGGATGATTTCTCCCTCCAATATATTATTATTGACAACGCCATCGCAGCAGTTCAAAACTTTGGCCACGGCTGCTACATGGCAAAAACAGACAGAATCTGCTTTTTGCCTCATTCCGCTCCATCCGGATGACTGGGAACTTCTGGGGATGTTCTGGAATGGGCAGTATTATTTCGACAAGGTACTGCCATTTGGGCTTCGCTCTGCCCCATACATTTTTAACCAATTGTCTGATGCCATCAAGTGGATTTTACTCGACAAATGTTCCATTTCCTTTGTCGGCCACATCTTGGATGATTTCCTCATAGTGGAACCACCCTGTCCTACCCCTCCGCTGGATTCACTTTGCCGGGCAAGTCTGTCAAGTATGATCTCGACCTTCAAAACTCTGAACATTCCTATCTCTGCATCCAAAACCGAGGGGCCTTCTCAAATTATTCAGTTCATGGGTATCATACTAGATCCTGGGAAAATGGAGGCAAGGCTACCCGACGATAAGGTAGAGAGGATCAAGTCTGCTCTCTCCAATTTCCAATCCCGGCGGTCAACAACCCTGCAAGAACTCGTATTCAGTTCTATTGTGATAATCAGGGTGTAGTTGAGGTCATCAATTCCCGTCGATCCAAAGTTCCCCAGGTAATGGACTTGGTAAGAGACCTAACACTCTGCACCCTGCGGTATAACTTTTATTTTCAAGCAGTGCATGTCCCTGGGATCAATAACAACATTGCAGACTCTCTTTCTCGTTTCCAGATGGAATGCTTCCACCAGCTAGCACCCCACACCAAGACGAAATCCCAAGACGAAATTCAGGGAGCCGAGAAGCAAGAAGAATCTATAGAGTGCCCAGGAACTACCTTCTCAAGGGCAGGAGAGCTCGATAAAGTAAGTTAAGAGAATTTAATAACAACACTGAGATGTCTTGGTCATAAACTAGTGTGCGAGGCCAGTGCTGCCTTTTGTTAAAGGTTTGTCACATCAGTGCCCCCACTGACAACTGAGGTTCTTTCACAAGGGAGGGCTCTTAGATCCAGTAAGAAGTCAACACAGTTTAGTGAAGCTCAACGGTGGTATTTAGAAAGCAAATTTAAAGTTGGACAAGAAACAGGACTGAAACTTGATCCAGTGGATGTGGTGCGTGACATGCGTTATGCGCAGAACCAGCAGGGGGCAAAATTGTTCACAGTGGATGAATTCTTGACCGCACAGCAAATTCAGTCGTATTTTTCAAGAGCCTCCAAACTGCGGCACTCACATTCGGACGACCCAGAATCTGAACAAGACGAAGACGTTATGGCAGCTGAAGAGGAACTCTTGCACGAAAATGTGCACATGGTGGTCTTAGATGAGGTGGCACTGAGACACCCAATTGTTTTTGACGTTTTCAATCTGTGTGACATGCATGGTTCAGGTAAACTGCGGCAGCTGAGTGTAGCCATGCTCTGTTCGATTTGTGAACATTTTGATATTGACGTAGGAAACATCAAAGGATGACGGAAAGCTCCCTACTTGTCCTTACTTGGAGTTTCTCGAGTCATGCGATTGTCACCATAGTCCCTGCTTATGACTGGCCACCATTATTATTGTGACTTATTGACCTGGGAGTACCATTTATTTCTAAATTTGAGGAGTGGTTCTAAAGATATTATCCTAATACAGTTTTAGCCTCCCCTAAGAACTCGTCAGAAGCCTCGTTTTTACGTTTTCGTTTGTCTGAGCTGGTAACTGTATCAAGCTTACACCATTTTGCTTTAAGACAGTTGACCTGATTGTTAACAGTGCAAGATCATTTACCACTGCGAAAAAATCTCTTGAATTTTGCGGCAGCCGTTTGTGACTCGCTGTCTTAATATAGTGATGTTTACAGTCGTTCAAGAGA